TATCTTCTCCAGTCTTCCAAGGATGCTATTTATAGCTGGATTGGATAATCTATCCGTTGAATCATAATAGACTATCCGTTGCATTTGCTGGCTTCAATTTTGAATGAAGATTGTGATTTGAAGATTCTTCGTTGAAGTGGGTGTTTGGACATACCCAATTGTTTGAGAAGTGATTCCATTTTTCTCAGAATCCGTCTTCCTTGTTCAAGAATTCTCTGAACTGTAGCACTTTACTCTGTTTGTCTTCTTGTGCTTGTTTAGGAATTCTGGACGGACTCTTCAATTTAGAGGGCCAGACTTTGTCTTCGAGTCATTTGTTCTTGAATCAGCATAATTATCTTCAATCTAGCCGTTGAAAATCAAGAGATTGATTTTTCCTTACCAACGGGTAGAATTTCTTCATTCAGGACTTAGATAATTTTTCTAAGTCTTTTCTCACTTGTCCGCTTTTTGAGAATTCCGGTCTTTAGTGAGTCTTTTGATTCTTGGCTGACAAATCCGGATGAGTCATTTTCAGACTTCCGGGTGAGAAAGAGATCCGCGCTAGTCTTCCGATTTGGATGACTTAGACTTCAGCGGGTTGTAGCGAGACATCCGGTTCTTATGTAGTCTTCCGGATCAGAGGATTTTCGTTTGCTTGAGAAATCCTTACTTGTTTCTGACATTTCCGAACAAGATATCTGATTTCCATATCACTGAATTTGATTAAGTCTTCAGGCATCAAAACGCTTAAAGAAATATCACAGCTTTTATTGGAAATCTCAAGAGCTCGGTTTTGACAATATTTCTAAAAAGAAAAATTACATTGAATATTGGGGGAGACCTAAAGTCCCTAATACATTCTAAATACATCATCATCAAAATCTATAATATTTTTTCCAACAACCCTGCTTGGGGGCGCTGCCCTCGAACCCCCGCCAAGGGGGCGCTACCCCCAAACCCTCGCCAAGGGGGCGCTACCCCCTTGGATCCCCTAATGTAACTCAATGAAGTGTGCACTCCGCACCACCAAACTTCTTTGATGATTATTAGGATAGCATTGGTCATAATTTTAACAATTACACTAAAATATATAACACCACACTCAAACCATCATGCATAGTACGAATTATAAAAGGGGGGGGGGAAGAATTTAATTCTTCTCCTCTCAAATGTTTAAAGTGTATTTTATTTGACATCAATAGTTTTTATGATATAAAATAAAATACCGAAAACCTTTTAAAACAAGTATATAAAATATACTTTAAAATAGTTTTTTGTCAAAATAAATAGTTTCATAATTAAAATGACACTCTTAAATAAAATGTACACAATATAATATATAATATAATATAATGTAATATATATATATATATATATATATATATATATATATATATATTTCAAAAACAGGACATTTTATGTTAACATATAAAACTAAAAAACACTATGAAATACCGCAGTATACATTGTCACAATACAATAGTCCTATTTTAAGATAAAATATGTCACTTTTTTAAATTTTCTAAAAACTATTTTTATTACTTTTTTTAATTGTAATCAAAATTAAAATAAAAGAAAAAAGAATTGAAAAGAAAATAAAAAAGAAAAATATATGAAAAAATAAAGTCATGAAGGATATATGTTGGGCATTAGTCCAACAAAGAAAATTAGTTAATATTCTAGATTCAAAGAAATAAGAATTTTTTTAAATAAAAAATGAAAAATATATAATTTGAAGCAAATGAAGTATATGTTTATTTTTCATTTTAGATGCAAACTGTTTTTTATTTTTAAAAATATTATTTTAAATAGTTCTTAAAAATAACTTTAAAACATTTATGAAAAAGCAGAAGGTCATTATTAAAAGTATTTTAGTAAAGACCAAAGTATTGCGCAAAATATAATGTACAACTAGATGTATTTTCCTTTTTATACATCATACTCCCTCCGTCCATAAATAAACTTCCCGTTCACTTTTCATAGGGTCAAAATTTATTCACTTTGTTGGTCTATAGTTTTGATAAAATATAGTCATTTGATAAAATAATATAGTCATGTCACCTCTAGTTTTGTAAATCTTTTGATATAGTTTTTTAATATGTAATTCTTATTTTTAAATTTTACACAATTTTTCAAATAAAATGATTTGAAAATAACTTCAATCAAACATCGTAATGCGCAACGGGAAGTTTTTTTGTGGACGGAGGAAGTAGTAAACTTGTAATTGCAAAAAACGTTTCTGAAAGAACGCTTAGTTGTTTCAAAATAAACACTATATTGTTTCTGAATGAACGCGTTTCAGACTGAACACAACGTCTTTTCAGATTAAACATTAATAAGTAGACTCCAAAATGGACACTGCGTTTAAAAATGAACATTTGGTTCATTTGAAATGAACAATGAACAATCTATTAAGAGAAATTTACCTAAATAGGACTAAAACATAATGGCTTTCCCAATATAGTACCATATGTTTTTATTTCTCAATGTATGACTTTTGGTCATTACCAAGTAGTCATTATTCAAGTAAATGTCCATCATTACTGGATATTATTCCTCCCACAAGGTCATTATTAAGTTCTATTTAAGGAATAAAAATTTTTAAGTCCTACATTTAGAAAATCATTATGCTTTAATCCTATTTAGTGCAAATTTCACATCTATTAATTCAAAATGGACATTCTATTAATTTAAAATAAATATTTTGTGGGTCCAAAATAAATTGTCTCCCAATAAAGTTTACCATCTTTTCATTCCAGTCTACTAGTCTAGTCCTATAGATGCGACGAGACACTCTCTGTTGCTCACAGATATATTGACAGTAATATGCTCTCCACGAGGTTTTCCATTTGAACCGAGACGCTTAGCTGCGATCCGACGCCTGACATAATGAGCCGGCGCGACAGTGGCGGACTCACGGTTTGCTGTGCAGCTGCGGCGGCGGCGGCGGCGGCGGCGGCGGCTGCTGCGGCGGAAGGAGAGGAAACCTCTGGAAATGTGCAGGCGCCATGGGAGAGTGATGCGATGATGAAAGCGTTGAAGATGATAGCTCCGGACGAGCTCCGCTGCACCTATTCGGACGGTAAAACCGGGCGGTGCTGCGGATATAAAATTTCCATGAAGGAGTTATGCCAAAAACATTACCTCCAGGGTTACATTCTATCAGTCAACAAGGAGGAACGGAAGCCNCTGCGGCGGAAGGAGAGGAAACCTCTGGAAATGTGCAGGCGCCATGGGAGAGTGATGCGATGATGAAAGCGTTGAAGATGATAGCTCCGGACGAGCTCCGCTGCACCTATTCGGACGGTAAAACCGGGCGGTGCTGCGGATATAAAATTTCCATGAAGGAGTTATGCCAAAAACATTACCTCCAGGGTTACATTCTATCAGTCAACAAGGAGGAACGGAAGCCTGTGCTCTCTCCTCCGTCAAATTTCAGTTCCGGAAGTAGCATTTTTGTAAAGAGGAGAAGAGAGAGGCAAGCCGAGGAGTTGTCTGATGATGCGACAAGGAAGAAGAAACCTAGAGTAACGGGGGATGTAGAAGGCGAGAGGGCAAAATCTGTGAGAAATACGAAGAAACCCCATAGTGATAGGGAAAAAGGCAAAAATGAGGCCTTAAAGTGTGTCCCAAAGGATTCCTTTTCCAAAAGAGATGTAAAATCACTGGAGAAGATAAAACTACCAGGGGGAGGGCGAAAGGATGGTTGTTCAGAGGGTGGCAGGTTGATTCCAGAAGACGGTGCAGCAGGAAAGAAGAGGTCATTGTCACATGAGGTGAAGAAAATGGGGCATCAAAGTGAGAATGTTGTATCTCTAGATGCCCTAGGGAAGAAAGATGATGTTGTTCCACTAAAATCATCTGGAAAGAGTATTAGAACCGGACATATGTCAGACATAAAACATAAAAAGTCGGAAGAGAATAAATCTATCAAGGCAAAAAAGGGACACAGTGGAAATATAGCAGATTATGACACCATAGAGAATGAGGGTAGACAATCAAAATCTTCATTGAGAAGAAACCATAAAGCCACTGGTGTTGTTAATGACTCACAAGGTAAAAGCAAGCTTAAACAAGGAAAAATTGATCTGAGGAGGAAGCACTTCTCTAATGATGTGAGTTCATTGACCCCATCTTGGTGATAATTCTTTGAGTTTCTTTTGAATTTATGCATGTCCTGATATGATTAAATACACAGGATCCGAGTGATGATTGCCAGATGTGTCATCAATGCATGAAGAGTGATAGAAAAGTTGTTCGTTGTCGCAGTGGATGCCGCAGGCGCTATTGTGTTCCCTGTATTTCAAGATGGTAATGAGGTTCTATTAGGGCCTAACTTTGAAAAATTTATCCATTTTAATTCCGCTAGGTTTGTCCAAGAATTTAAGTAATGACAATTTCTTGAAGATTTTGTTATATACTCTAGGCTTTACGGCATTGTTGCTTTTCCTGGGTCCTACAAAGTTGGGGTCTTAGTGAGCCTCTCATCTCCAAAAAAATTTGAGAATTTATGGGTAAACATGAAGACGATCAATATAGGTTTATTGTGCATGTTTGAATAAGTTGATCTAAAATGTTTCTGTTGTACTAATTCAACAATTTTACACTATTATTTTGAGGTTGCTAAAACTACTCTAGGGCTGTGATCTTCCTTTAATGGAAGATGCAGTAAAATCTCATCCCAATTTGATTATTATTCTTTGTATTATCGACCTGAACTTTACCTAGGGAATGCAGTAAATTCCTTATTGCATATATGTATTATTCAATATCCTGCTGAATCCTACATGATACTTTTTGCGGTCGGAGTAGTTTATGAAGGTTTCCTGAACGTAAAAGTTCTAGTTATGGAATTAAAGTATTGTAGATTATTACTCAGTCCTTTCATGGATTAAATTTCCTTGCTTTTTAGGAATATGCAGATTCTGCACTTGGGGTTTAGTTGCTAGCGGCGGTTTGTGTGCTCCTTTGTTTCTTTGCGCTTTTTTTACCATTCGTTTGCTCTTTGCTTCTTTGTCATGCTCGGTGCATTCCATGTTGTTTGAGCTGGGGTTTCTTTGAAACAACTTTTCTACTTTCAAGTAGGGGTAAAGTCTACGTACACACCCTCCACGGACTCTACGTTCGTGGGATCTACTTGGTTGTTGTAATTGTTGCCGATTCTATGATTTCATGTGGAAGTGAAAATATCCATCAATATTATAACCTTTTTACAACCCCATACGTACTATAATGTTGAAATACATATTTTGCAGTATTCTACGGAGTGCTTTTTTCTCTGTCCTTGCTTGTCTCTCGTAGTTTCTACCTCACTAATGCTACTTTTTGCTAGCAAGCCAGCACTGCCACCTCAGCATAATTTTTGACAATCAGAAATATGTAATATACTCTAGAGGGAGTAATATTTTTGTGCACTGATTCCTCATCTCAGTAGTCAGTACTTTTGGTTAATACTAGTATGGATTTTCAAAATACTTTTTGCGCATAGCTTTAAGCAGGAAACAGTTATAACCTTGATCTGATGCTATGATTGTAATTACTAAACTGCGTGTTCATCAAACCTTAAAACCTATCCCCTGTTCCATGTCCAACATTATTTGCTTTTTAATGTGTGATATAGGTACTCTAACCTTACAGAGGAAAAAATAGCGGAGAAGTGTCCATTTTGTCGAGGAAATTGCAATTGCAAAGATTGTTTACGTCGTATTACCAAGGTTGTTTTTCAGCAGTTACACTTTGGCATTTTCTCTGTGAAAAAAAGCTTCTCGTCACATATGCACTAGTCATTTCAATTTCCTTGTTCATGGTTTACTGCAGGATTCTGTATATGTAGGAATACCACCAGATTTTAAAGAAAAGAGAAGCCGTCTTCAGTATCATTTAAATGCGCTCTATCCGTTTCTCAAAAAGTTTTATCTGGATCAAATGACTGAAAAGGAGATAGAGGCCAAGATTCAAGGTATTAGTCATACAATTTGGTGTCCTTACGAAGTACGAATCATAGTACAAAAGTTCTTATTTAAGATGCAATGTCATTATTTGTGCTGGAGTTTTGTATCAGGTATTCTGTTGTGATAGGTTATGCGAAGGCAGCTAATTGACCAATTTTTCTGAGTTTTTATATTAGGGGTTTTTTAACCATTGCCCAAGGGCAGTGGTTAAAAATATAGAATATGGAAAATTATCATTTAATCAGCATGATGAATTTCATTTAATGTGCTCATTTAATATGCTAATTTAATGATAATTTTCCATAGCGTGTATGCATAACCATTGTCCTAAGGTAAATGGTTAGCAAAACTGTTTTTATTATACTAGACTTCTAGTGTCATAAAGTGGTTATCTTGATTTCTATTTTAGTAGTGATTTCATTCTTTACATAAATGTTATCCCCTTTGAGTTGGCACTAATTTTTAACGACATATCGTTTATTTTACGGAGCAACTAATATTTCTTGGGAACAATTTCAATTTTGCGTCTAATGCATAAACTTGGCATAAAAGTTATCCCTATCATTAAGCTGCAACTAATTTTAGATAAAAGGGCATAAGCAATCAGTGTGAATTATCTTTTTAGGAAATTAAAACAGAAAGAAGGCCAGTTATTATGAAACATGAAAATAATAGGCTGTGGCCTTTTAAATGGACTCATTTAATGGTTTTGAATTAGGGGCAAACAAAGTGCCAGTGCTTGGGGTGCAGTATTAAGCAACCTTTGATATTAATCTTCAGATACTGCTGCCATGCATTGTATTTATAGAACCATAGTTTTAAAAATGCTTTTCTTCAATGTTCAATGTGTTTAAAAAACTGTTAGAATGCTACTTAAGAGCCTTCAGTTATGTTGAGGGCTTCAATTTTGAAATGCATTTTGGGTATTATGAGAATTGAATTAAAAAACTCCAATTTTTGTTGGACTTGGTCGCCTGGAAGGATTTCCAACAATTAATTGTTATGCTGCTTACTTCCAAAAAATGGCATAGTTGGTAGAAAATGATTTACTTGATTTTTAATTGAATATGCTGGTTTCTCTGTAGGGGTATCATTGTCTGAGATAAAGATATCACAAGAAATCTGTCACAATGATGAGCGTGTGTACTGGTATATTTTATTCCATTTTTCTTTTTCTGGACTTTATCTTTTGTGACGCACTGATGCCAACTAAAATAGTATCTCATTTCACAGTGACAATTGCAATACCTCCATTGTTGATCTCCATAGAACCTGCCCTTCTTGTTCATATGATCTCTGCCTGACCTGTTGCCATGAAATTCGAGACGGTTGCTTGCAAAAAGGTCATAGAAATGTCACGCTTCAATCTCTTGATGGAGGGAAATCATATTTGTATAGAGATGTTTCTCACTCACTGGCAAGCAATGACTCAGCTTGTGAGGATCAGGTTAGTAAGCTGCCAGAGTGGAAAGCGGGGGAAAATGGTGAAATCCCTTGCCCACCTAAAGAAAGGGGAGGCTGTGGATATCACAGACTGGAGCTTAAGCATTTTTTACCTGAAAGTTGGGTTTCTGAGACAATGAAGAGAGTAGAAAGCTTACTTGAAATTAATGGCTGTTCCAATGAGCATCAAATTCCTAAGGAGCAGTGTCCTTGTTTCAGAGATGAAACTGCTAATGGTGCAAAAAATGTTAGGAAAGCTGCCTCCAGAGAAGATTCTAATGACAACTGTTTGTATTGCCCATCAGCAAATGACGTTCAGAATGGTGACCTTGAGCACTTTCAGAGACATTGGATCATGGGAGAGCCTGTGATAGTTAGAAATGCTCTTGAACTCACATC